GACTAGTCTCTTCACTGACTCTTCTTTTTCTACTTACTGGGAAAAGAGGATCAATAATATCAGCTTAGAAAGTTAGTGTGAGGATTAAATGAGATTATGTATGTAAATAGTACATAAATGGCTGCTGTAATCATTATTCTGGGAAGCTCTGTCCTATTCTAGGCTTTTCTAAGCCTTCCCTTTTTCCTAACCAACCAAAACCCTTCTTAACCCTTCTGAGGTCCTCCTTCTAAGGTGGGGCCAGTAGGAATCTGCCAAAACTTGCCAAAGTCCATGGTATCCTCTCCCCCTCAACCCTTCCAGTCCACTGCACCACCATTATCACTCCTGACAGATCTTCCATTGGAGCAGCCAGTTTGGATGTCATAAACAGCCTTGTGTAAGGGAATCTGCCTCCACCCTCTGCTCAGCCAGACCAGGCAAGTTTCCCTAAGACCTGATGCTGGAGAGCTCTGGCCTTGGCCTCCACCAGTATTCAGTTTGCCCACTCTGTGTCTCCTATGCTTGGCCACCCACTGTCATGTGACCTTCTCGGTCACATCCGAAGAGGGAGCTCAGCAGTATCCATGTGGTTTAGCCACAGCTTTATGAACACAGCTCCTGCTCAATGTCCAATTATTCAGTCCTGTTTTCCAATTAGTTTTTTTTTTTTATCCCTCTCCCTTCTTTTCTTCTGCAAATATTAAATAAGAACTACTATGCACAGACCCTGTACCAGCAGGAATCAAGAGAAACACATCTCTGGCCTCACAGAAGCCATGGTGCAGCCAAAAAGGCAGTCACAGTCCAAGCTGAGGGGCCTACAGAGCAGGCTAAGGGATCACATAGGAGAGACACTATATCCAGACCATGGTGGTAGCAGAAGGCTTCCTGGAGGTGATACTAAGCCTGAATGTGAATGAGTAAAGGGTGGGAGGATTCAGCCAGGCAAAGGAGAAGAGCTTGCTTACTTTCATATGCTTTACGTTCTCAGTGTCTGTACTTACAGGGCTCAGCCAAGGATTTTTATTTATTTATTTATTTTTTAGTTTCTTCACTTAAAAAACTTTCTTTTATATTTGCAACCTTGCAACATCTTAGATTTTTACAAGTGATTACTAAATGAAACTGGATCTTGTGATTTCCATAAAATGTCAGAAAAAATTCTCATGAAAGAACAGATTTTCACACTACACCAGAAAGGAGATAAGGAATCCAGGTCCTAAACCTAGTGAAACAATCCTGGCCAGGCTACTGTGAATTCACGCATACACATACTGACACACACACAACCAGTCCAATTTCATTTATGTTCTCACCAGTACACCAGAGATATCAAGGGCACTGGTAATGTATGCTATTCAGCCAGGGCTTTGTTTTTTTACCCAATATTTTAACTTGAAAAATTTCAAACCTAGAGACAAGGTGAAAGAATTGCACATACATCTTCACCTAGATTCACCAGTTGTTAACATTTTACGATATTTGCTTTCTCCTTCTCTTTGCAGATATCCTAACCTTTTTTTCCGTGAATTATTTGAAAATTAGTTGCTGATATCAAGACACTTCACTTCTAAATATTTCTGCATATATCTCCTAAGAGAAAGGACATTTTCTTACACAACTTCAATACCATTAACACTGACAGAATAATGCTAGCTAATGTACAAATTCAAATGTTTCCAATTGTCTCCAAGATGACCTTTGTAGCATTTATAGTTTTGCTCATCCAGGATCTAGTCAAGGATCTCTCATTGGATTTGGCTGTCATAGCTCTTTGGTATTCTTTTCCAGAACAGTCCTTCACCTGCTTTTAAAACTTTTTGTTTGTTTTTCATGACATTGACAGTTGTGAAGATTCCAGGCCTATTATCTTAAAGAATGATCTATAATTTGAAGTTATCTAATTGCTTCCTTATGCCAACAAATAATTTTGAATCAAATTCCTTATTTTTCCCTTCCTCTGTCTAGAGTCAGCCCTGCTAGTTACACTCAGCGATAACACTTATGGGCTTTATGGCCTCAGAGGACTTGGAATTTACACATCCCAGAAGGATTTAACTGATATAATTAACCATCTAAGATTTATTCAATATTGAAAAAATATTTTCAATATTTCTAAACTCTGGGGCAAGGGGAGGAGTCAAACGGCATGTGTATCAAGCCAAAGGGAACTTTAAAGCAATTTACTTTGATTCAGTATTAACAACACCCTTTCAGACATTTTTCAAAGTGCCTCCACACTTGCCATTTAAGAACTTCGAGGGTGAAACAGATATGGATTCAAATTCTAAGTCTACCACTTACCTGCTGTGCCACTTGGAAAAGTAGCTTAACTCTCAGCTTTGGTTTCCTCAAAAGGTATTTAAGGTATAAGATGTTTAAATCAGTGCCTTGTTCACAATAATTGCCTCTATTAATCTTCACAATCACACTTCAAAGAAGGTAGAGCAGATTATTATCCTCTGTTTTATAGGGGAGGTAACTAAAGCTCAGAAAGACAATGTGACTTGTTGAAGGTCATGTAGCAAGGTGACCAAAGAGACAGAACTAAAACCAAAGTTGCTGACTCCCAGAGTTGTCATTTCTAGTTCTTTTCAGGAAGTAGCACCTATCTCATAGGATGTTGTGAGGATTAAATGAAATGATGTCTGATGTATGCATTATGCTGGTACAGAGGCTGTGCTCAATCAGTGTCAGTGACTACTGTGATAATTATTTTTAATGTGTCACACTGCCATGAGTAACTGATCTTGTTCCAAGACCCAAAAAGACCCCTGGGAGGTGGGCTTATAATTATCTTGACCAAGCCCACTTCTACCCTATCTTCTCTCCCACCAAGATCCAGGGCAGGGGGTGTTAGAATATCTCAAAATTCACTGAAAGTATTAAGGTTTCACTTGGAAGGAGAAACAAAATATTCTGAGGCTATGAGGCCATTGTTTGTAAAACACAAGAGAGGCTCTGTTTTCCTTGGGAAAGGGGCACTAAGTCATAAGTCATTTTTTAGGTTCTGTGTGGGTGACGTGGGGCTCCTGCAAAAAACTTTGAGTCACTCACTATTGTCTTGTGTACACTGAAGCACAAAAGCCTAACCAAGTTTTGTTCCTAAAATCACATGGCTCATTCTGCCCAAAACATTCTAGGAACACATTGTCCATCTTCTTGAACAGTGTGACCAAAAGACAGAGTAGCCATTGAATTTGGCCCTGTGGCTACTGGTAAAACACCATTGGGCAGCTGGCCATGACTTGGGACACCTTAATGGCCAAACTGATCACAAGGTCCACTTCCCACTACAGCCATGCCAGCTGTGTGGGAAAAGGGCTTTCCTTCTGCCCTCAGGACAATAAGGGAGCCATTAAGAAGTTCAGTCAATGAGATTATTCCATTCTTGGTCCTCTCCTGGGCTGGGCCATCAGATTGGCCTACTCCACTCAACCATATCTATGGTGCCAGCTCAGACTGGTGTACAAAAAAGGCTTCCCACAAGTTAGGTTTGTTGAAGATCCCTCAGCTCGGTTATTGTTATAGAGATGGCATGTCTGAGATCAACATGTGGAGGTTTCAGTGAACAACCCCGGATGTGACTTCTCTGGATGACATTGTTCTTAATATTCTCTTGCTCCCCATTCATCTAACCAAAGCTCTGCTATGCTCTCTGCTTCCATGGTGTAAGCCATCTGTTCTTCCAGGTAATCAGCCATGCACTTGGGAGGCAGAGCAGTAGGGTGGAAATAACTTGGGTTTGGAATGAAGTAGCTATGGTTTCCAAACGTGGCTAGGACCTCGGTAATAAAAATAGGCAATACCACATATTCATTGCCTGGTATGCACCAGACACTATTCTCAGCAGCCTACCTATAATATCTCACTGAATTGGCACAGCTAACCTATTTGAGGTTACTTCAAAAGGGTCATGGAAAGATTTGTATTATCTTTTAATTATGTTTTTCCACAAACTTTCTGAAGTACTCTCACAAGCATCACCATTTCTACTTCACAGATGAGGCTTAGAGATGATAAATAATTTTCCCAAAGTCTGGATTTGAACCCAGATTTGTCTCTCAATGAATCCTAATTTACCATGTTAAACTGCCTCCAAGTATAGCTGCCCTTGGCCTTAGCTTCCTCGCATAAAATACACAGACCATGTTTCATTTTTCCCAGTTTCTGTGTCGCAATATATGTCTAAAGAGCACCACAGACTACCTGGCACATAGCAGATGCTCCATAAATGTTCCCTTCCTGTAGCTGAGGCTGACTCTGAGAAATAAGAATTTCTGACCTTAAGCCAAAATCTCACTGGGTAGTTTGTCTTTTTCAGACTGGCTTCAGGAGCTTCACTAAGGTCTAATTAAAACAACTCTCTCAAGCCTACATCCCTTATTTCTTATAAGTAAATAAACTGGGACACAGAGATTTGGTGCTTCAAATCTTGGTCACAGAGGAAGAGAGTATGAAAAGTGGGAAGCAAACCTAGCGATTCCAAGAGCTAGAGTTTGTGCTGAAACTCCTCCAGCCTCGCCTTTGATGTGTGTGCGCGCTTACATGTGCTCAGTACTTTAAGCTGTTCCATGTGTATGTATCTGTGTATGTGTGTGTATATACGTGTCTATACATATATCCAGAAGTAGATGTATTTATATGCAGATATACACACAAGTAATGATACCTTAAATAAGCCACCCATACCACCCTTAAAGTGTCTTTAGAAAATTAACCCACGGAATAAGCAATATGTGAACTATAAACATTCTTGCATGTTGGCAGATAACCACACTACACATTCCCCTCCAAGAACAGAGAAAGAGAAGAAAGGGAATAACACAATAGCAGAAAAATGCACTAATCAAATCCACAATCAACTTTGAAGATGGAACAAGGATTCTAATCAAAACACAACAGGGCAAAGTTGCACCAGGTTGTAAGCTTGGAGCTGCACTCTCTCCCCAGGGGTCTTGCCCACGCTTTCTTTTTAAACATCTAAAACACCCACAGAGGATTTCAATCACTTCCAATTACTTTTTTAAAGAAACAAGTTGCAAGTTGAACACCAGCTCCTAAAAACAGAAAATATCAAAGTATTATACACAGTATATAATTTTTTTCCTGCATTTGCTTCTTAAAAATAGGTTAACTTTTCCTCAAATAAATAGCTCAAGAGTGTTCCGTATCTGAAGGTCAGCCAGCAGTAGATGGTTTCTGAAAAAACGCAGAGCATGTCTCTAAAACAATTCTTTGCACATGGTCATAATTTATATTTGCATTAACAGAGCAGATGCTAGAGATGTCCATTCTGGGGAAAGACCCAGGTATCTCAATCCGGGAAGGGAGCTCCAGAGAGAGGTGCTACTGCAGAGCACAGTTTCATCCATGGGGGTTGAGAAACAGCTATGGGTTGGTGGGAGAGACTCAAGGTGAAGTGCTTGGGGGATTGGCAGTGGCGCTGAGCCTAACAGCTATTTGCTGGCTCAATGAGGTCTCTTCACACTTGGTGGTGATGAAGAGCAGGCTTGGGGTTGCATGGGATGTCACTGACTGAAGAGAGCTGTTGCATAACAAAACAAGTTGTGAGAACTGCCTTCTTCCCCCTGTAATTACCACACTGAATATTCTGGACCCCCAAGCTAATAATAATAATTGTAATCATTTCCCAATGGTCTGTTAGGAAACAGGTCCTTCATGGACATCCTCTTCCTGCACATTCAGAATTACTATCCACTAGGAAGCCAGCATGCAAATCTAATTCTTCAATGGCAAAGCCTTTGTTCTTTCTCTTCATCACCTCTTTAAAAGGAAGATGCCAGATCTGGAGCAATTACTGCATGAAGCAACAGCTCTTGCTCTGCACCACCATGTGACCTGCTCTTCATCCTCCCCTGTTATGCTCATTCCCACCTCTTCCCTCCACACCAGCCATTGCTGCCCATCTTTGAAGCCCAGCCCATCTCCTGCCTCCTCCGTGAGGACTTCTGGAGTTTCCAGCCATTGTGCCCTTCTCTTCCTTTGAGCACCTTGGGGATACCTCTTAGCCTTCCCTGTGTTGTGCCCTTTTGCTCTGGGTAGATCAGTTATGCCTCCCAACTAGACTATAAAATATCCAAGACCCAGGCCATGTTTTATTTGCCCTATAGATCTGCCAGAGCATGATGGAGGGAAGTAGCAATGACAAGTAGGAAGACTGCAGGATTTGAAGCCACAGCAACCTGAGCTGGACTCCCTGCTCTACCACACTGGATGACCTGAAGCAAGTTACTGTACCTTGCTGAGCCTCACTTACTCATCTGGCTCAGTGGTCACAGCAGTGGTCTAATCAATCAGGACCTGCAAGTTATCAGGCAGTCTCTGTGGTTATCTCTGTATAGCACCACGGTTAGAGGAATGGAGTCCAGAACTCTGTCCAAGTTCTAATTCTACCTCTACTATCCACAAGGCTACTAAACTGGTCTTTGCTTCAGTTTCCTCATGTGTAATATTGGGATAATAACACTTATCTCACTGGGTTGTTGTAAGAATAAAATGAGTTGTTTTATGTGAAGTCCTTAGAATGCTGGCTGGTTAGCTCAGTTGGTTAGAGCACAGTGTTATAACACCAAGGTCAGGGGTTCAGATCCCATACCAGCCAGTAGCAAAAATAAATAAATAATTATTATAAAGTAAAATCCTTAGAACTATTCCTAGCATGTAGTAAGTGCTATGTAAGGATTTGCCATTATTATTATTGTTATTATCATCATAGAAATGGATGTGTCACACCTGCTTTAAGCATTCCTGTGAAGATGAAATGAGATCACTTGTTAAAGAGCTTGGCACAGCAGGCACTCAGCAAGTGGTGATGCCTTTCCCTCTTCTTCCCACTGTGCCTGCTGTACTAGGCACGTGATACTCTGTAAATCCTGTGAACAGATTGATACCTTCCCAAGGGCTTGGGAGAATAAGCTACATCTTTTCTCACTTAGATCTAGATTCAACATGCCATCTTTTGGATTAGCAATATAAATAGCTAATTTTATTAAGTCCTTATCTGCCAGACACTGCAGTAAACACTACACATGTTATTTTTCTTAATGCTCACAACAATTCTTGTGGTTGTTTATGCCAATTTTTATAGATAGGAACACTGAGGCCCAGAGATATTAATCAACTAGATATCCAGCTAGCATATGACAGACACAGGACACCACTGACACCCATCTGACTTAAAACCTGTGCAATCAGCCACTGCACAACCCAGCCTCCTGGAGAGAGGTGGAATGGTGGGGAGGGGATTCTGGAGATATAGGCCAAGGGCAAAGGAGGGAAGCAAAGTCTTGAGAGAACAGGACCATACCAGGCCCTCGAGGGAAAGCTGGAGAACATTTTTTCAGGGGAGAGGGTGATGAATCACCTTTCCAGAGCCTGCCCACTGCAAGTCCTCTGACAATGTTTGTTAAATGAAGGGTCAAATGGGCAAAAGCAGAACAGCTGCCTGGATATGAACAATCCCAGGGTCTACTTTCCCTCTCATTCCTCAGGTCCTCCTCATCAGGCTCGAGGGTGTGTGTCACATCCCGAGTCACTGTGCTGGCCTCCCACATACTGCCCGCTACATCTCATGAGCCCCACTTCCACGGATGACAGGGAAACCCTTGCAGGAGTGTGCCCTGGCATTCATCCTCATCTCAGAGCCCGCTGGACACATCCCGTGGCTTACAACAGAAAAAGTGCAGAGCAAAAACACTAGCAGAAAAAGACCCGGGAGCATTGCAGGAAATCTTGCCTTCCTCCCACACACCATCACTCAAATCTGTCAACTTCCAAAAATGTTTAGCAAGTGCAGCAGCAAGGGGCAAGCTTATCAGCCTGTTGTGGGAGCTTAATCTGCTTTGAGGGACTTCTCCAGCCCAGAGTACCTAGTCTGCTTACAATTAACTTCCAGCTCCAGTTCTTCCATCAGAAAGGCTAGGAACGTGTTGAGCTCTAGCCTCTGATCAGAGAAAGCTCCAGGAGAAGGTGGAGACAGTGTCAGCAGAGAAGTACATGCCAAAAAGGTCAGGTGGTCTGTTGCCACTTCCCCAACACCAGCCCCAAACCACCTCCCTGTGTGGCTTCCCGCCTCTTCTGACCGGGACAGTCACATCCGTCAGGTCGGCCTGTCCCCAAAAGTCCCTGCTGACTGACTGCCAAGAAAATACAGCATGCCCCTGCTCCCTCCTACCAGAAGAGGGGGAAAAAAATGCAGCAGGGAGGGCAGGAGGCCAAGAGAACCTGATTGGCCCTTGTCGATTTCCTTAAAAGAGATTGCAGGTCCAGGGCCTGTCATCCAGCCGATTGGGAAATGCCAGCTCTGTCTGGAAAGGTAGAAGTCACCACTTCTCTTCAAGCCAGCTCCTACCCCCACCCTCACCCCCAGTCACCCGGGCTACCAACACCAGGATCTACCACCCAGGAAGGAGGGGCTTAGCTTCAGGCCGCCATTCTGAGGCAGCCACCCCCACCCCCACCGCAACAGCCAGCCAAGACGCTAGGAGTCTCCAGCTGTCGGCCGCGGCTGGTGCACTGGTACTGCAGTCCCAGCACCTTGCCCAGAATCTCCTCACCCCTAAGGATGGGGCAGGGACAGGCCATCTTCGAGCCAAAAGGAGAGCAGGTTCACTGCCACTCCCAGCCCCTTTTTGCTGGATTTTGTAGCCAGGCCAGGGGGCGTCGAACCCAATGGGGCTTCAGACCATTCCTTGGCAGGGACAGAACCTCTGCGGAACCGACAGACAGACATACACACAGCTGCAGCAGCAGATACTGCCTTTTTGGGGCCAAGCCCTCAACATGCAGGACCTGACATTTTCAGTGCTGCACACGTTTTTTGAGAACACCCCGGCAGTGTCCTCCTCCCCAGAAAGATGCCGCCTGCGTGCCCACACCCCGGGTCTCTCAGAGCTCCTTAGTCAAATCTCGGGCACCCGGGCCACACCCACCATCCGGCCCACTCTCCTCGCGTATCCCCCAATCTGCCAGCCTAAGGGGAATGGTTCCTTTCCCTGCCCACATGGTATTCCTTTCCCCAGTCCAGCCATGCCACCCCCTAAAAAAGTGTTCACTCATCCCCCCAGAACAGTGCCCGGGTACACAGCACCTCTCACCTGGGTATCGAACCCGTTTTCCACCGAGCCGCTCTTCCGCAGCGGGAGCCCCTCCCCCGTCGGCTCCTGCAGCCCCTGCGATTTCAGGGGGATCTGGCTCGGGTAGGCGGTCTTGCTCACCTCCACCTTGCTTCCCAACTTGAGGTAGCAGGGCTGGGGTCCGGCCCGGGCCGGGGGCACATGAAGGATAGGCGCGGCGCTGTGCACGGGTTTGGGCAGTCCCGATTTCATCTTGGAGGCGACCAGGATGGCCGGCATCTTCTCCCGGGGCTTCGGCTTTCCCAGCACGTCCCTGGCAGCGGCGGCGGAGGCGACCGCTAAAGGCAGCGCGGGCAGCAGTGCAGGCGCCGGGCCTCGGCCCGCGAGGCGCCCACCACCAGTGGCGGAAAAAAAAAAAAAAAAAAAAAAAAAAGCCTGGGTCGGGTCGCTCAGAGCGATCGGGCGAGCACGCCCTCGGGGTACCGGGATGGGGTGGGGGACTGGTCAAGGCGCTCAGCGGGCCACACCTGGACAGATGCTGCAGCCGGGTCTCACCTCCTCCCGGGCGGCCTGTTCAAGAGCTCTGGACGCTCAGGGGCTGCTGCCTCTTACAATTTTCCTCCTGGGAAACCGAGGCTTGGACGTCCATATTAACTTGTCACTGCATCTCCGAAGTGAGGAGGCCCCTTCGGAAGAGACAGAGGCGACGGGGACCCACGCGTCCTTCTCCGGGAGGATGCGGGTGTGAGCCGGCGAGGAAAGGGGCGAGCAGCCGAGGGAGGACAGAGGGAGAGCGCACGGAGCCCGAGACGTCTCCTCCGAGAAGCAGCTGCCGCCCAGCTCGCGAGCACCGCAGTGTCACCCGCGACGCAGCAGAGGCGCGGCGAGAGCCCCCGAAAGGTCTCTCGTGGCGTGACAGTCAGTCACCGCTGCCCAGAAGCCCCCCAGACAGATAGCGCCTGAGCGCCTGTGGGTCTGCACATGCTCCGTGAGCTACAGCGCAGCGAGGCTGTGGCCGTGGGGCGCGGGCACCGGGACGCGCGGCTGGCGGGCTGGGCAGGGCTGCGCTCGCGAGCG